TTTCATTCTATCTTCTACTCTTTTGGAAATTGTTTCCATTGATTACATATGTTTATCTGCAGTTTGATCAAAGTCGCAAGTTGGCAAAGGTAAGTATTCATCCTAACTAACCACAGAATGAATGTGGATACAGAGTTCATGAAACGCAAGCGTGATTCTCACGCCAGACGTCATTTTCACGCTCCATAAGCTTCACGCAGACATCATTTACATTTATGATCCAAAATTTGAACACTGACATTTGAGTAATATAACTACATTATTTATTAACTTGGAAAAGATTCAAATAACATCTAAGATTTGAAACTCAATCACATCTGTGATACTTGTAAATATTTTTATACATTAAAACTAAAAATAATTTATTTAAATTTGAATTGAGGATCTTTTTTGACCCCAGATAGCTATATTCTCCAATCTTTAATAACAGGTTGAATAGACACACACAGTTTGAACATATAGTATTACTTTTGTTTTGATTGTATATTTTAAAACAAAACCAAAAATTTCCTGTTTCACCTACTGTTGGGAGATGGTTGGGAATTTTTTGTTTTGTAATTCATAAGGCACAGATAATAGTAAGGCAGCATTAGAGCTCAGTCGCAGACAGACCATAAGTCATGTTCACATACTACATTAGACGGTGAAACCGATTCATTTTCTGTTTGTAGTTTACAATGTTTTGGCATGACCTGTTCAACAAGTTTGGTCCCATGGCACAAATTTCCAATCAAAATTAATGCAAATTTTCCTATATTTTGGCATTTGAATAGAAGTCTATGAGAAATAAAGAAGATTCAGAAAATACGGAACTCAAACAATGTAGAAGTAGACCTTTAGGCTCAAAAAGATACGAAGTACCAATTCTGAACCGCAAAATTAGCCTTGACTACATTGAAGATTTGAGGTACATAAGCCTATTGATGGGAAAAACGGCTTCAGAAATAATACAATAGAGAGATATGTTGATTGGAAGCGCTCTCCTTGATGATATACTGACACCTTGTGCAGTAGCAATTTGTTCCCTGGCTTCACTACTTACCAATAAGAAATGACTAGTAAGTTGGGTCAATCAAGACTGAAAGACTTTATGGTATTGGCATTTAAAAATTTTGATATGTTATCCTACAGTTTTCTTTTCACAGAAAATCATGCCAAAAGAAAAAACAGGTACAATTTATAGGTTTAGAAAAAAAAGATACTTTCTACAACAGATAATAGGAGAGTGACCTGTAAAAACTCTATAAACTCTGAGTACTTTTGTGTTTGTGAGCAAATTCAAACAGACCAGTAGGCATTAGACAACAGATCAAAAATTACCTTAAATAGAGGCACAGAGGTAAAAATGATGGGCCTCACCTAAAAATAGACAAGAATTATTCCCACAAATAAATTTAGGCCATGAGGACAGAGACAATCATGAAAAGTGTAGTAATAAGATATAAAGTACTATAGAAGACAATTATTTTTTTAAATATAAACTAGATGAACAATACTTTTCACAAAATCAAGAGGTGTTAAATATGATAATTTTCAAGGTACAGATACTACAGTGCTTTTGAATATTGCCCAGTATGAATAGCTCATCAATTTCTCTCATGGCTTAAGGCCATATCATCCTCATCATGAAACTCATAGTTACCTGTCTCTTCTAGAGCATTTGCTGCTAATCGTTCTATTTCTGCAATCAATTGCTCAGTTTCCTGGTCAATAGTTGTTATAGATGGATCTACAAAATCCCATTCCAAAGAATCTGGAGTAGTCATTCTTGACCCATCTTTACTTCCAGTCGATGATTCTTGAGTTATACTACCTTGCCGACTACCAATGCGAGTTTTGCGTGTTTGGAATGACTTATAATGTGGACGAGATTTTGAATTGTTGTTTACAGATGCAGCAGTTGAATCTGAATCTTCATCATCATTAAATATCCGAGGATGGAAAGAAGCTAGGTAGTGAAGAAGAGGATTTTATTAAAAATTCATCAGCCTTCAGACATTGATAGCGTAGTAGATGGTACAATGGTGTATTTTTACCTTCATGCTCCCATTCCAAGTCGATTGAACTAGGTGGAGTAGAATGCAAGCTTTTGTTTTCCTGGGTAAAGCAAGCTGTGTAGGTCTGAGGTACCAGTAATGCTTTAACATCAAGAGCATGAAAATCACGGTCTGACGGTGGTCTGTGAAAATATTAAGGGGAATTTAGTGAGCTGCTAAATCAAGAAAACTGAACATGAAATTCAAAACTATATGTAGCTAAGGTGAAGTATAGGACGTAACAGGTAATGTTACTTACAAAGATGGTTCTAAGTAATGGCGGTATGGTACACATGCTTGTGCAACATATCTGTCACAGATTTGTAAAGGCCAAGAATTCTCAACAAGTTCAAGGGGTACTTCTCCTTGATTCTCCTACACAAAAAGAAATGACTTGTGAATCAGACAAAATGTAGTTATTTTACAAAGTTAATTTTTAAGACAGAAATCCAGATTTATCATGATGATCAGACACAGAGTACTTGTCAGATATTAAGCTGACAGTAATACCTTTCTCCTTTTAAAAGATAGAAGTGAAGACAAGCTGCATTCCAAAGTAAAGGGAGCAAAAAATGAAGAAGTGCACAGATAAAAAATGGAAAAATATTGATTAATCTGAAGGAGAAGAAGACCTCCATTTTCAGCTCAATGAACCTGTTACTCTTCATTTGAACTCAAAGCTTAAGCAATACTTATTACAAAAGCAAAATGCTCTGAATATATGATTTGGACACTTTCCCTATGACTTTTGTATTAGCTTGTTTCATAAACTATATGCTCACTGACCTGTGTGGAAGACAAGGCCACCTTCTGTCATCCTGGTTAACAATAAACAATTCAAAACTTTTAAGTCCCTTCATTGTTACTTCAGTGTGGATACAGAGTTCATGAAACGCAAGCGTGATTCTCACGCCAGACGTCATTTTCACGCTCCATAAGCTTCACGCAGACAATCAGGACCCGACTTTCATCGCGCTGGGCGTGAAAATCACACCTAGTGTGAGAATCGCGCTCGCTATTAGGGAACTCTGTATCCACATTCATTCTGTGGTTAGTTAGGATGAATACTTACCTTTGCCAACTTGCGACTTTGATCAAACTGCAGATAAACATATGTAATCAATGGAAACAATTTCCAAAAGAGTAGAAGATAGAATGAAATGAAAGAAAAAGATCAGCAATATTTATCATAAATTTAATTACCTGAACATATTCTGTCTTGCAAGAATACAGCGAATGGCACCTGTCATGCCTCCTAAATGTTAAGTACAGATATACATTAATTAATCAATCAAAATCTCAGAAATATGTGCATAGATCAAAAAGATTCAAAAGCTATAATTTAAAATCACCTTGAAGTGGAGTTGAAACAATGACCGAAGCAGGTTCCCATTGATGTTTTTGTTGTTAAAACTCCAGCTGATGGCTTGCTTACCTGTACGGTCGCCTGCGAGGCTTCAGCTTCGACGCCAAGGTTCCTTTCACAGTGACCATTTTAGTAGCAAAGGATGCGCAATAGGTAGTTACAGCTGGCCTGCCGACAAAAACTTGAGGTTCATACACGATAATCTATTTTTGTTTTCAAATATATATATAACAATATGCAACGTTTATAAGGAACAACACGAGAGTGACAGAAAATTAGCAGACGAAAAACGGGTTAGTTAAGTGCTTCAATATGTAGTCGATAACTTAAATAACAACATAAACAGACAACGAAACTCGGGCTTCGAAATCGAAAACGCAACAGTCCGAAAGGTGGAGATCAAAGATTTCAGCTGATCAACTTTAAATTTGTACCTGATCCTTCTGAGGTAGGTCGAAGCCGTACGCCGTGGAGTGGAAAGGAAGGGGGGAGGGGGGAGGAGGAGAGAAACAAACATCTATGTTCACAAGTAAATCGTGAGATCCTCCTTCGGCGTCGGGGTCGTTGGCGCGCTCGGGTCGTTCGGGTTCGGTTCGGGTCCCCCTCGGACTGCTCCGGTGGCGTTCGGGTTCGGTTGGTGGTGGTCGGTGTCGTCGTCGTCTGTCAGTGTCAGTATTGGATCGCCCTCCCCGCGCGCGAGTCGAGCGGAGCCGCGAGGACGTCGTGCTCGTCCTGCAGCCGGTGCGATCCGCGGTGCGTCTTGTCACGTCCGACGCCGCCGGTCCGATCATGCTCGACGTTCGCGATGGAGATGTGTTCCTGGAGGCTCAACCCCGGACCCGGCGACGTCCCGGCCTCTCGGCACCACAGTGACGCAACTGCAGCGGCCTCAGGGACTAGTCGCAGACGTCGCGGACGTCGCGGCCATGGCCTCCAACAGCAACATCGTCGTGGAGTGGCTACGGTCCTTGCACTTGGGGCAGTACGCCGAGTCCTTCCTGGACAACGGCTATGACGACCTGGAGATATGCAAGCAGGTGGGCGACCCGGACCTGGACGCCATCGGGGTGTTCAACCAGGCGCACCGCGGCCGCCTGCTGGGCTCGGTGCGGGCCCTGCGCGAGGAGGGAGCGGCCTCGGTGTACTTCTCCTTGGAGGAGACGGCCGCTGCCGCGCTCAACATGGCCTTCAACGACGACCTGGAGACGGGCAGCGGCGTGTCGTCCAGGAACTCGTCGACGACCGGACGACCTGCCTCCGAGTCTGACAGGGAGGGGAACGCCGGCTGCGGCAGACCCGGACCAGGGTCAGGGTCGGGGTCCGCGTCGGGGGCGCACTCCAGAGCAGCCCATACAGGCCCTCAGGGACACAGCCCTGCACCATCCAGTGCTGGCAGCAACCATGAACTAGGCAAATACCTGGACGAGTACGAAGAAGGCAAGGCAGAGCTTGTACGTTTACCAAGATCGTTGCTGAGGAAGTTGCTCAGGGAGAAGCTGGTCCAGGATGGCATCCGCCTCTGTCATCAGCCTTATTCCACTTCGGTAAGTCAGATAGTTGAAGAACATTTTGTGTGTTCTTCGACAATCCCTTTGATTCCTTGTTGCTCAGATTGATTGCCTTGGACAGTTAACGCTCGATCTATTAAAAGCATGAATTCAAAAAAAGTTTTTCTCGTACTTCCGTATTATCAGTGTAACACAACTTTTTGGCAATCTTCATAGTGGTCTATGGCTTTATTTTCATTTGTTTTATCCTCATGTAAAAACCATAAATTACAATCCTATTCTAAAGTAGAAACCATTAACCTCTTCTGCTAGTAAACAAAGTAAAATGTTGAAAAGGTTTGTTTACAGTATTTTTGTCGTTTTTGCACCACATTAGAACAATATTAGCATTCTGCACTGGAGACCACACTCTTGATTGTGGTTTGAGCTCATAGTGTAAATCTGTGCTTGAAGTCTTCATTTTGCCTGTCAAGCAGTCTGCCCTAGTTTTCATGAGAATAATGGTCACATGAAAGAACCATCTTGTGAAAAGTAAATAAATAAGGCAATTACATCTCATTCTACATCCCACAACTAAAATTGGCAACATATAGCCCAGAAATTTATGGCATCTTAGAACTCTTGGGCCACAATTTCACTCAAAATTTTAGGTTATGTTTCCCATTAAGCACTACACTCTTTGTTTACCAACATGCCGTAGTAAAGTTGAAAACCTCCTTTTAGTTTTTATTGTAGATGCACATAAGATTACTTATTTTAATGATGCACTTGACATTTTAAAACTATTAATCCTTAAAACTTTTAATAGTGTGTTGTGTGAATGGGTTTTGCTCTTTTAAATTACCTATTCCTATACTTTGTTTCATTTGAAAGTGTTGTTTTTCCAATGAAAATTTAGTAGTTACTAAACCAGTTTTAGGATTATAGTTTTGCATGAACTCTTCAGTTTCCACTCTACAAGGTTATGGTCCTACAAACTGGTAGTAGGTTTCACTCGTTCCTTGCCCCATTTTTGAAGGAGAAAAATGAATCTTGTCCCTATCATGGCTGTGTTTAAAAAGATCTTTTCATCTGATTAAATATAAATGGTTCCTGTACAGTTGTATGTTTGTTTTTAAAAGTGCACTGGAAGGATTATTTCATATTATAAGTAAGGTTGTTGATGAAGCAAAAAACCTTTAAACTAATTGAAAAAATTAAAAAAAGAAGTCACAGAGGTTGTGCTCAGAACGTAATAGCATGCCAACTATACTTGCTGTAGTTGGTAAACGTTTAAAATCATGTTACTTTCTTTCCAACTGAAATAATTGCACTATTGAGCATTAGTGATATTTTAAGAAAAGTGCAAAAAATGTGTAATGTTAAAGTTGTTGGCAAGAAAGATTAACCCGATTTTCAGCAACATTTTTTTCTCCATAAATTGGTTTTTAAACTGGTAAAATGCGGTTACACAAACTTTTCGGTTCG